TACGTACGTACAGACGGACAAGGGTAAAACTTAATGCATCCTCTGCTGCAGCGGGGGCATAATAAAATGTTTATTTTGAGCACTTTTTCAAGTGTTACAATAGAAAAGAAATACCAGTATTGTGTTTACACAATTGGGATCATCAGTTGGGGAATTGAAGGTACCAAATGCAGTTTTAAATTTTTCCTACTGGTCTGTAGTGGAAAATGATTCATTATGTTAAAAGGAAATAAGACACTGTGTTATCATCAGGACAGATATTTCAATGTTTAAAGAAAAAGGGACACAAGATTTTTTTTTATATTGTAAGTGTTGATGATAAAACATCAAAGTACAAACACATCATTACTAAGTTGATAAAAACTTAACCAATTTAAAGGCAAAAATGACCTAAGATGGATTTGGCTATTTATTGGGGTATTTTTTGTCATAAAACTCTTCAACTGTTTCAGTACATGTGTACTTATACATCCTTGGCTTTCAAATGTTTGGCTTTGAGCGTTCCTGGTGAAGGTAAATCCTGAAAAAGCGCAAAGGACGCATGAAATTATTTAACTTGTTGTTTTCATTTTAAAAGTGAAATGGATTAATCTGTGGATAAAAGTCAATCAATGATTTTATATTTAAGCATTACGCAACAAAGTCCACTCATAATTTTTTTTTTTCAAACAGATAATTACAAACTCCAGGGTGAGGAGACAAGACATAAAAATAAAATCAGTATGTTAAACCTTGTAATGTACCACTTACCATTAAAATTAGGATTCCCATATTTCACATAATTTTTCACTCCTCTTCTCTGCACCAGGAAGTTTTTTATCAGCTGCGAAAAGAAAATTTTTACAACTGTATACATCTTTTCCTACTTTTATTCCCTAGAACCATTCAGTCGGTTTAATAAGAGTTACTTCCCATTATTGTCAGTGTTCTCATTCTATAACATTAGTTCAACATTTTATAAATCTTTTTAATGCCTTGATACAGTAAATTCAGACTTTGTTGTCCCTTTTTTGCTTTCTGTTTTGTCTTTAGATGATGTATCCATTTCCTGTTCAAATCAAAATGGTTACATTCATGTGTACAAGTCTATTTCAAAGGTGTATTTTCTACTTGGATAAACGAAGAACCTATAGTGTGAAGGCTCACAATTTTTTTAACTATACTTCGTAGTAAGCTTTCAATCCCATACATTGTATTTGATTTAGCATGTTTTCTATAAACCTCTTTTTGGCTTCATTTTTTGTAACTATGGCCTTAACCTTTAAGTCAATAAGATCTATTCATTAAATGAGACCATATATCTAAGTTTCCATTCCCATACAAGTCTTTAAGCATCCAGAAACCACTTTCCTGCACAAATAGTGTTTTAGTTTTTAGTAACTTTGACCTTGATCTTTGCAGAATTGACCTTAAAATTAAAAGGGATCTTCCTCTCATTATGTGTGACGATTTATCAAATGAGGATGCGCTGAAAAACCTTCATCACTTATGCTCAAGACATAAACTCTGAGGTTCATCTATAGATCTGATGCTCAAGACATATACTGCCTGAGGTAAATCTGAGGTTCATCTATAGATTTGATGCTCAAGACATAAACTGCCTGAGGTAAATCTGAGGTTCATCTATAGATTTGATGCTCTAGACATACACTGCCTGAGGTAAATCTGAGGTTCACCTATAGATCTGATGCTAAAGACATAAACTGCCTGAGGTAAATCTGAGGTTTATCTATAGATCTGATGCTCAAGACATAAACTGCCTGAGGTAGATCTGAGGTTCACCTATCATGCCTATAGATCTGATGCTCAAGACATAAACTGCCTGAGGTAAATCTGAGGTTCATCTATAGATCTGATGCTCAAGACATAAACTGCCTGAGGTAAATCTGAGGTTCACCTATAGATCTGATGCTTAAGACATAAACTGTCTGAGGTAAATCTGAGGTTCACCTATAGATCTGATGCTCAAGACATAAACTGCCTGAGGTAAATTTGAGGTTAATCTATAGATCTGATGCTCAAGACATAAACTGCCTGAGGTAAATCTGAGGTTCACCTATAGCTATCATGCCTATAGATCTGATGCTCAAGACATAAACTGCCTGAGGTAAATATGAGGTTCATCTATAGATCTGATGCTCAAGACATAAACTGCCTGAGGTAAATCTGAGATTCACCTATAGATCTGATGCTCAAGACATAAACTGCCTGAGGTAAATCTGAGGTTCACCTACAGATCTGATGCTCAAGACATAAACTGCCTGAAGTAAATCTAAGGTTCATCTATAGATCTGATGCTCAAGACATAAACTGCCTGAGGTAAATCTGAGGTTCACCTATAGATCTGAGGTATATATCTGAGGTTCACCTATAGATCTGATGCTCAAGACATAAACTGCCTGAGGTAAATCTGAGGTTCACCTATAGATCTGATGCTCAAGACATAAACTGCCTGTAGTAAATCTTAGGTTCATCTATAGATCTGATGCTCAAGACATAAACTGCCTGAAGTATATCTGAGGTTTACCTATAGATCTGAGGTAAATCTGAGGTTCACCTATAGATCTGAGGTAAATCTGAGGTTTACCTTTAGATCTGAGGTAAATTTGAGGTTCACCTATAGATCTGAGGTAAATCTGAGGTTTACCTATAGAGCTTAGGTTTACCTATAGATCTGAGGTAAATCTGAGGTTTACCTATAGATCTGAGGTAAATCTGAGGTTCACCTATAGATCTGAGGTAAATCTGAGGTTCAAAAAAAATATTAAACCAGGGTTTTTGATATCACAAACTAGTCTAAACATTTACTAAATTTTATCATCGGTACAAGGACATCATTCGTAAATATAAATCAACATGCAGACATCTTATACGTTCAGGTATTTCACATCCAATATTTTATGGTAATATTCTTTACAAAGCACAAAAATGTCGGCATTCACCTCAAAAGCTAACCAAACGATACTGTTGTCAAGTCATTAAGGAGTGTATATTTTGGTATTTATATTGATTCACTCATAGGGTCTTTGCATCGGAAATAAACACATTTATTCTAAAACCAGTTGTTTGCATAATACGGGTTATGTTCTTCTCATATATTTTATGATGGTATGATACTAAACCCCTAACGGAAGGGATTGTACTTGATTTTCATATGATGAAGACATAATCTTTTAATCAGTTTAATTGAGGTCTGGAGCTGGCATGTCAGTAACTGCTAGTAGTCCTTTGTTCATTTATGTATCATTGTCATTTTGCTTAATTTCCTTTGTTACCTATTTTGACATCGGACTCGGACTTCTCTTTTAAACTGAGTTTTACTGTGCGTATTGCTATTTGTTTCTTTATTCTACATTGTCTAGAGGTATAGGGGAGGGTTGAGATCTCACAAAACATGTTTAACCCCGCCGCATTTTTGCGCCTGTCCCAAGTCAGGAGCCTCTGGCCTTTGTTAGTCTAGTGTGTTTTTTAATTTTAGTTCATTTATATGTTTTGGAGTTTAGTGTGACGTCCATTTTCACTGAACTAGAACACAATTTAAGTTAGGGGCCAGCTGAGGACCACCTTCGGGTGTGGGATTTTCTCGCTGCAGTGATGAAGATGATGAACTAGAAGATTGTGACTTTTTCTTTGTCTTTTTTTTTGACTTGTGATTTCTGTTTAGATGATTTAAGTGCCGGTGGTTTGGGTATTTCATCCTTCTTTTTATCATCAGATTGCTCACTGGTATCACCTAATAGATCAAGTTTGAATTTTGGTAGCGTCACTTTAACCGTTCTAGAGTTATGCCACTTTACAAATGGAAAAATTGCTGAATTTTCAGTTTCCGTTCTCTAACTTAATTTTGCCTCTTCCAAATGTAATGAAACTTATACACAATGCTTATTACTACAAAACACAGATCAATTTTGAATTTTGGTGGTGTCACTTTAACTGTTCTAAGAGTTACGCCCCTTTACAAATGGAAAAATCGCTGAACTTTTTCGTTTCCGTTCTCTAAGTTAAGTTGCCTCAACCAAATGTTATGAAACTTATACACAATACTTATTACCACAAAACTCAGATCAAGTACAAATTTGGGTAGCGTCACATATAATGTTCTTCAGTTATATCCCTTTATAACTTGATATGATATGCAAGCGGGGGAATCATCTGTGTCCCATGGACACATTCCCCATTTATTTATGGCTGCCCTACATGCCCTATAAACACATAAAAAAAATCATAGCTCGGATTTTAACAAAACTTGATATTTACTAAATGCATATATCATATATATATCCCAAATTTTTTCATGGTGTCAAAATTTTGAAAATTGAAACCCTTTTAAATGTATTACTTTGTTTATGTCACTTATAATTATTTTTTGTTGTGCCTCACACAAAAATATGCAAACGTGGCCCTTCCTGATATTGTCAGTTTTCTAGTTTGTTTACTGTAAATTCAGAAAGTTTTGCAATGTTTTTTATTATTGAGAAAATTACATCAGAACAGTTTTGTTCTCAAACATAAAAGCTTGCATTTTAAATTTTGATAGCATACTTAAGTTCCAAGATTGTCTGTTATACAGTTTCTAATTTTATTTTACACACATAAGTCATTTGAAAACGTCAAAAATATTTGCAATGTTTGGATCGATACTAAAGTGTCTGTATGAAAATGTCAACATATGGGCGATGTCGCCTCACGGCTAAGGTTTTCATCAGGGTGAAGGGTCAAACTATATCAGCATAGTTGACTTCTCTAAGTGGAAATCTAATGGAATATTTACATTTACTTGATTTCCCTGTGTAGGAAAATAGGCATGTGCATAGACAATTGTCACGTGATACAACTTTTTCAATCTCCACATTGAACCAACGACTATCCTGGAACTCTCCTAATAGGATGCAGCATTTCCTAAATGGCCATAGTTAATTTTGTATTTGTGTCCTTTATTAAACAATCGCAATAATGAATGGAAGCAAAAATTTCTCAATTTATAGTATGTTATTTTTTAGATTAAATCTTCATTATGGAGAAGGTCGAAGGCAAAGGGACTGTAAGAATGGTTCAATCAGAGGCTAAGTTCTCTGGGCTTCCAACTGATCCATATAAAGCTCTAGAAATATCACAATCGGCCAGAACACTTCTCCATGATATAGAGGATGATGAGGAAATGACGGAGAAAGATCATGAGTCACCACATCATAATGTATCCGAATGTTCTAAAGTTTACTTGGATCTGGCGCAAGCAGAACATTCAGATCAACGTCTTGTCAACAACATGGATCAGGATCATCTTTTTAAGAACGGAAATGAAAAATGTATATTTTTATCAGGAAATGAAGATTTAAACAATTACACATTGAAAAACTCAGAATCTGAAGATCCGCATACAACAGAAAATACTGATTGGTCCTCCAGTCTACAACATCTTACTAGTCAACTTAAGGTCAAAATTGAGGTCATCAAACAATGTACTGGTGATTCTCATATTCAAGCATTACATGACATAAGTTTATTAGTGGAACAAGCTTGGGTCATGCCAACCAAGGATGTAGCACATAGTTTATGTGACACTCTTCGTGAGGAACAAGCTCTAGACATTCTGATAGGAAACTGTGCCTCTCAAAACAAAGAACTGATGATAGCTTCAGGAAGATTACTTGAAAACATTTTAATAACAAGAAATAGACAGAGAGTAGTACACTATGGACTAGAAATACTGGTTAAAATGGCTGTTGATACAAAGGGGGAGTTTGATATGGCTCGGTTTTGTACTGGAATATTGGAGAGTCTCTTCAAAATTTCAGAAGAAATTTGTAGAAAGTTGACTGTCCTGGGGGGACTAGATGTTTTACTTTATTGGTGTAGAAGTAATGATCGTCTGACATTACGTCATTGTGCAATTGGTTTGTCAAATATGGCTTTGTATTGTGGCCCTGAAAACCAAGAAGAGATGGCAAAACACAAAGTCCCAGAATGGCTCTTTCCTCTAGCATTTAATGATGATGATAGTGTAAGATACTATGCCTGCTTAGCAATTTCTGTACTGGTTGCAAATAAAGAAATTGAATCTGCTGTTTTACAATCTGGTACCCTAGATCTTGTTCTTCCATTTATTGCTAGTCACTCTCCAAGTGAATTTGGGAGGATGGACCTGTCTCATCGTCACGGTAGATCCAAGGAATGGTCGAAACGTCTGGTTCCCTTATTATCCAGTAAAAGGGAGGAATCTGAAGCATTAGCAGCATTTCATTTTGCAATGGAGGCAGGAATCAAATCTCTTCAGAAAAATACAAAAGTAAGTTATACGTTGGTACATCATGTATATATGAGCTGTGTCGGATAGAAATCCACCTTATGCAAGTGCACATATATATTATGTACATGTATACATTGTTAGACTTTTATTGATTTAGGAACATTCAAATACGAAATAAAAGATGAATTTTGGTCTGTTTTGTAGGGTTCTTACATCAACTAAATTTTCAAACAGTTACAGACTTTGCATAGAGATTTTGTCAACTTGAAATAGGTTAACAGATGTATTGTTATTCATTTGCATAAGGTTGATTTTTATCTGACGCAGCTCATATGTTATTTTTAGGAATAAATTGGGCAACATATTGTTGGTGCTTTGACATTTTAAGTACAATGTACTGTAAATCAACTTAAACATGTTTTATTCCAGAGCTATTTATTTAAGTGACTTGAGCTAGTAGAAAAACAAGGCGAACATAAATAGTCACGAATATGTCAAACTTGGATCTTCTTTTATATCAGTCTGTTATAAAAAGCAAACATTTCATCATTTCATCTTAAGAAAAAAGTCTTAGAAAATTTGTACATTGTGGAACATTTAAAATCACGAAATCCACAGAATTTGCTACCCCACCAATAAGAACATGAATACTTAATCCACAGTAACATAAGTAATTCATTGTTCCAATTTTGAATTTTAATTATTATGAACCATTGATTTTAAATAATTTTTTCAGATATTTTATGAAATAGGAGCTATAAGTCCATTAAAAAGGTTAGCTAGTAGTCAAAATGCTACAACATCAAAATTAGCTTGTGAAGCTCTAAGAATTATTGGAGAGAATCTTCCGCACAAACTGACAGCACAAGTTCCGGTGTGGACAGTTGAAGATGTGAAATTCTGGGTATCACAGGTTGGTTTATAACTCCAGCACATATATGACATAGAGGTTAATGTATTCAACGACAGAAATTATGGGGTTGTTTTTATTAATGCAAAAATGTGATAATATCAGGTTCGCAATAATCAAAACTCCCATTCCTATTGTCAGTAGTGATTTTCCTTCACAAATGTTTTTCCATCTCATTGATCATGTTGATTGTATCTCACAATTTATCCATTAATCAATGATTTGCAATAATAATTAAACGCACACTTTAATTTCTGAATTTACAGTGTTAGTATCAGAGAACATAATTATGAAATCATAATAACACTTTCATGATTATAACTACATGAACTATACTAAATGGGATGGAAGAAAAATTGTGAAGGAACTTGTTTTGTAGAACAAACTGTCAGTCTTTCGAATAAGGTGATGAATTTTTATTTAAAACATCAAACACTTTTAGTTTATTTGTTGGTTATCTTCCTTTAATGTTAATCATGTACATGCTGATTGAACCAAAAGTTGTAGCGGAGGGGGCATTAAGTTTTACCCTTGTCCGTCCATACATCCGTACGTCCCAAAGTTGGTTTCCGTTCTCTAACTTTAGTTTGCCTCAACCAAATGTTATGAAACTTTATCACAATGCTTATAACTAAAACACACAGATCAAGTTTGAATTTTGGTGGCATCACTTTAACCATTCTAGAGTTATTCCGCTTTACAAATGGACAATTGCTGAATTTTTCGTTTCCGTTCTCTAACTTTAGTTTGCCTGCAACCAAATGTTATGATAACTTATACACGATGCTTATAACCACAAAACACAGATCAAATTTGAATTTTGGTGGCGTCACTTTAACCGTTCTAGAGTTATGCCCCTTTACAAATTGAAATATTGCTGAATTTTTCGTTTCTGTTCTCTAACTTAAGTTAGCCTCAACAAAATGTTATGAAACTTATACACAATGCTAATTACCACAAAATACAGATCAAGTTGGAATTTTGGTGGTGTCCTTTTAACCGTTCTAGAGTTATGCCCCTTTACTAATGGAAAAATTGCTGAATTTTTTGTTTCCGTTCTCTAACTGAAGTTTACCTCAACCAAATGTTATGAAACTTACACACAATACTTGTTAACACAAAACCCAGATCAAGGTCGAATTTGGGTAGTGCCACTTTTACCGTTCTTCAGTTATGTCCCTCTATAACTTTATATGATATGCAAGCGGGGGCATCATCTGTGTCCCATGGACACATTCCCCATTTATTTATGACATACAGTTAAAAAATCTGAGATTTTATTCTTATGCATACATGTAACATTATAATTTAAACTGTGACTGAATTTAGAAATAATTTTAACTACATGTTTTGATATGATTTCATTGCAACAAATATATGCTCAATATTTAGTTTTACTTCGTTTTATAAATTCTTATTTTCACTTTGACTGATAAATGTTTTTAAACAATTATATGTATTTCAAAAATTGTTAGCCATTTTCTTATTTAACTACCAGTATATCAGTAATTATTTGATTCTTTTATGTTGACAGTGTACATTTTCGTAGTACTTTTCAAAAGTAAATATTAAATTTCACTCTTCACAAAGAACTGGCAAAATAACAAATTCACTATATTGCTGGTGCCAGCAAAATAGCATATTTTCTTTTTTGCTGGAGCAAATATAATGACATCGATTCCGGATAATTGCGATATGATGAATCTTTTTGAAGAACATCATGATGGCCTTATAGACGAAAAAATACTAAGTTGACGCATTCTGCTCAACTTCTTTGCACAGGTACAAGACGAGATTTTTTAAATATTTGTATATATAATGAATAGTGTTTTCAGTATATATACATATATTAACAAAACCTCGTCTTGTACCTGTGCAAAGAAGTTGGACCAAAAGTCAGAATTCTTTCAGGTTGGACAGACTGTATCTGTCGGTCAATTAACAAACAATTTTAGAAAAAAATGAATTCAATTTACTGCTAAAATCAATCCAGCTTTTGTTGTAATAAAACACTCTTACAAATGTGCTCAGGACGCAACATAAACGATTGTAAATGCTTTTGAACTTTTGAGTTAATGACGGCAAGGGGGCAGACAATGTGTAACGAAAGAGAGGAAAAGAAGCTTTCCCCAGTAGGCAGACATGGTGTATGATTCATGTTCATTTACATGATTTATAAATGAATCCGCCCCGGCACTATGTCTACTTTTATTATACATATCGCAACAAAGTTGCGTAGGGTATAATGTTTTTGACCCGTCCGTCTGTCCTGTTCTTTTTGTTAATATCAAATTTATTAACACTTAAATTTTAATCTACAGAATGGATTTGAGGAATTTGCTGTTAATTTTGAGAGATGTAAAGGAGATGGTGACCTGCTGTTAACATTAACAGAAGGGGACTTGTCAGGCAGTCTGCATATGAAATGTAGAATAGCACACAAAAGGTATATTATTGTTTCATTAGCAGACATGACAGAAAATGCCCACTTATTTATTAGGTGTTATTCGTATTAACAAATAATGGCCACGTATTAATAAGGTATTATTCACAGTAACAGAAAATGGTTACAAAAAATAAAGAGGAAATTAAAAATCAGTTCAGGAACACTACGTTGTTATATATTATTGGGGTAAAAAAAACACAGTCCTGAACAAGTAAAAAAAAATACAATTGGTTTGCAATCTAATTAAAATATAGATCTCGGATTTCGTTATACTACGTTATACTACATACGAAGATCTAACAAGTACCCTACAAGGTTTCACTTTTGTGACCTTATATAACGTAATATTTGACCCCAGAAAGTATTTATATCGACCAATCAGAATGCTCCTTATAAACGCGACCTAGGAACATGTTGAAGATGGCGACGTAGAAATGGAAAAACAACATAGAAAATGCATTAACTGAAATTTTGCCTTAGTACAAAGTGAAAGAATTGAAATTTGAGAAGAGACAAATTTTGAAAATCAAAGATTGCATGATCAGGCTTCCAACATGCTTCAAACGGGCTATGGAAAGAGTTTACATACCAGATATCTGCTACCCGATAATCAACAAAGGTAAATTCTCGAAAATAGAGTATTAAAGGTTGACATTTTTCTATCATTGGGCAACTTCTCGAGTGTTTATTAAAAAAAATCTTTGTGGAGGATTCACAGTGTACTTTAAAAAAACATGACAATATCCCAGAAAATACATTGCAAGTCTTCATTCTCCTAATTCTCCTACCAAAAAATTATAATTTACAAAGTCAATGAAGATACATGTATGGGATCAGATAAATCTAAATTCATTGGTAATAGTATATAAATCATATTGTCATCTTATTAATGATATTCTACTGTGTACTTGCAAAGATATACATGTATACTTATGCCAGCACATGCAGAAGAAGTTTTAATATCAGCATACTTTTTTTACTTCTGTCACACACTGATACATGTTGATATCATGTGGTGCTCCAGATAATTGTAAGGGGAAATTTTCTGCCAAGAAAGAAATTAATTGTTCACTATTCTTGGACTCGGCTACAGTGGGTCAGAATGGCAATTAGTGTTTCAGTGTTCATTAAATATTAGTTTAATGCTGTATACTTATGCCAGCACATGCAGAAGAAGTTTTAATATCAGCATACTTTTTTTACTTCTGTCACACACTGATACATGTTGATATCATGTGGTGCTCCAGATAATTGTAAGGGGAAATTTTCTGCCAAGAAAGAAATTAATTGTTCACTATTCTTGGACTCGGCTACAGTGGGTCAGAATGGCAATTAGTGTTTCAGTGTTCATTAAATATTAGTTTAATGCTTTGTGAGAAAAATAACTTCATCCTGTTTATGTACATATAAAAAAGAAGATGTGGTATTATTGCCAATGAGACAACTCTCCACAAGAGACCAAATGACACAGAAATTAACAACTATAGGTCACCGTACAGCCTTCAACAATGAGCAAAGCCCATATCGCACAGTCAGCTATAAAAGGCCCCGAAATGACAATGTAAAACAATCAAACGAGAAAAACTAACGGCCTAATTTATGTACAAAAAAAACGAACGAATAACAAGTATGTAACACATAAACAAACGACAACCACTGAATTACAGGCTCCTGACTTGGGACAGGCACATACATACAGAATGTGGCAGGGTTAATCATGTTAGCGGGATCCCAACCCTCCCCTAACCTGGGACAGTGGTGTAACAGTACAATATAAGAACGAACTATAAAAATCAGTTGAAAGAGGCAAAAAGTGTTACTTTAACCGTTCCAGAACAAATGGTAAAATTGCTGAATTTTTCGTTTCCATTCTCTAACCTTAGTTTGCCTCAACCAAATGTTATGAAACTTATACTCAATACTTATTACCAAAAAAACTCAGATCAAGCACAAATTTGGGTAGCATCACTTTTACCGTTCTTCAGTTATGTCGTTTTATAACTTTATATGATCTGCAAGAGTGGGCATCATCTGTGTCCTATGGACACATTCCCCATTTATTGTAGTCTTTTATACTCAAATATTTAGCTTTAACTACATGATTGAGTAACTTTGCAGAGGCGGATTTAGAGGGGGAGCTCAGGGTGCTCAGGCTCCCTTTTTTGGAAAAATTTGGTTGTTTATATAGGGAATCACTGAAGCATGGCTGTACAGGCCCCCATTATGAAGAAAATTTCTGGGTCCGCCACTGCTTTGTTTTCATTTGTAACATTACTAGTATAAATAATTTTGAAGACTTGATTAAGTACATGTAATTATGCTCTTGACTGATAGAATACTCTATCTTTAAATTCAACATGTCCAATACATATACTTGATCAATATATAGAACAAGACAGACGAGGCTATCTCTATCATAGTACATACATGTATGTTAAATTGTTCAGAAAACAACCAACCATCAAACAAAATCAATAGGTATCTTATAAGATTAATGTCTGGAAATGATGATGCTAAAAAAAAAGTAAAAAATGTGAAATGAAATGAAATACAAGTTTAAAGATTTGTGTACAGATTCTGATAATAAATACATGTACGTACAAATTTGATTAGGGAATCCACACCTCAAGGACTAATCCCAAAAAGGATTACTCAAGGGCCAGTGTTTTTATTTCCCCAAAAAATGTTCAAAGATAAGAAGATGTGGATCCTAGAAATGGATTCACAGTGTCAATTTATAAATTTACGTTTAGATAACCTACATGTATATCTGTAAGTAACATTTATTTAATAAAACATTCTGTCATTAACCAGAGGAACATATCAATTAAAATGTGTTTGAATAAACACTAGTATTAAGTAACAGGGTATGTACATGTAGGTAGGGAAAACCTAAACAAACATGCATGTACATTTTTTCTTCATCTTTTAGTCTGGAAAAGCTAGTAATAATTATTAAAGAAAACAATTAAATGAGTTCCTCTGAAACGGATGTTAAATAATTTTAAATAAGCTTTATAATGGAGTCAGCATTGTTTTGAAATCAGAATATTCCATAAATATATTTAAATTGATATTTCACATGTTTCAGGAGCAGACATTCTTCCCTGGTCTATATAGCTTCATTGAAAGGAATCAGACACAGAAAGTTTGGGGAAATGAAATTGAGAGTCACTGTGAATAATTCACACACATGCTAGACATAACGAAATGGCCAGACACAGGCTCAGCTATAGAATCTGTATCAACTGGAAGCAACAGCATTTTCATCAGAAAACTAAAAAGGATGTGAAAAACATGAAACATGCATTTGGAAATGTTCAGCTGCCAAACAAATAGATATGCCAGGAAATGCAAATTGTTTGCTAATATAAATGTCAATGATGTCTGTACAAAAGCAAAGATATAAAAGCCTTTTTCATTTATATATGTAACAGTCATATACAATACCGATTTAAGACCATCAGACAATCTTTAAATCTTTGGAAGCCACAGTACCTAGTCCAAGACATTCCACATTTTCAACTCGTTATGAAGACATATTTGACCAATCTGGTTTCCATTTATAGAAGTTTTAAAATAAGTTCTACATGTACATGACATGATGATCACCAGCAATGAAGGTGATATAGGATATAATATTCAAAGTAGAGAAGTATAAAGTGAATTTGAACCTCCCACCATAATAGCATTCTGCACATTTTGGATCACATATGGATCAAGCTGTTGTACTTGTGAACTAAAAGATTGTTGCTTGGTTGTTGTCAGGTACATTGTACATGTTGACAGTGCTATACGTCTATTAAATAAAATGCAGTTCAGAACAGTTATATTTTAGTAATAGATAGATTTCTTCTGTCTTTATTTGAACGGATAAACCAGATAATTAAAAAAAAAATTTCTGACAACTATGTCTGTTCTGGAACTGAAGACTACCTTCACTTTTTGTATCTTCCTTGTTCATTTTCCTCCAGATAAATTACTGACTATCACCATGAGGCTTATAACATGTATAAGTAGGCTTAATTCCTCCAAGGTCTCCAGTTATGTCCTGTCTGTGACAAAAGTTTCAGAATACAAGACATGCAAGACATGAAATGCTAATCGGACAACAACATTTACTATTTATATGAAGTTTTATATTTCAGAGGGTAGAAATCATGGATTTGTCATACTTAAAATCATAATCATGATAATGTATAAGGAATCCTTATGTTTAGAAGTTTCTGTCAAGACATATGTCCATTGTCCTTATTCCATTTTCATTGTTCAGTGCTCCTTAAAAAACTACATGTGTAGTGATTTTATCAAGTGAATTTGTGGCATATTATAAGTAATACGATATTTGGTATACATGTATGGGATCAAAGGTTTACATGTGTTGTCAGACGGGGTTCAACTTGTCTCTCAATTTTTTGTCGAGCCCCGGGTTCTCATTAAGGCGAGTCCTGGACTCATCATAATCAGTCTGGACTCATCATTTTCAAAACTTGCGAGTCCCAAGATGCATGAAAATTGTAAAATGTTGTATCAACTGAGCACATACATGTATATCACCATTTTATCACAAAAGTTAAAAAATAATCTAAATTTTGTGTAATTAGGGATAGTGATGCGGCGGCGTTAACTCACTTCTTAAAAGCTTAATATTGCAGAAGGTAGAAGATCTGGATGCTTCATACTTTGTATATAGATGCCTTTCCATCTGTCATATGTCTATTGTCATTGACCTCATTTTCATGGTTCAGTGACTACTTGAAAAAAAAGTTCAGATTTTTTGTAATGTTAATTTCTCTCTTAATATTATGAGTAATTGGATAACTATATTTGGTATGTGCGTACCTTTCAAGGTCCTAATGCCTGTCAGACAGTTTTCATTTGACCTCAACCTTGTTTCATGGATCAGTGAATAAGGTTAAGTTTTCATGGTCAAGTCCATATCTCAGATACTATAAGCAATAGGTCTACTATATTTGGCGTACATGTATGTAATGATTGTAAGGTGTACATGTCCAGCTGGCAGGTGTCATCTGACCTTGACCTCATTTTCATGGTTCAGTGGTACTAGTTTAGTTTTTGTGTTTTGGTCTGTTTTTCTAATACTGTATGCAGTAGGTCAACTATATTTGGTGTATGGAAATATTTTACAATGTACATATCAGTCTGGCAGGTATTATTTGACCTTGACCTAATTTTCACAGTTCATTGCTCAATGTTAAGCTTTTGTGTTTTGGTCTGTTTCTCGTAAACTTTAAGCAATATGTCAACTATATTTGGTGTAAGGAATGATTGTAAGGTGTATGCATGTATGTATGTCTGGTAGGTATCATCTGACCTTGACTTCATTTTCATGGTTCATTGGTCCATATGGAATTTCCATGGTTTGGTCTGTTTGTTTTATACTACAAGCAATAGGTCATCTATATTCTGTGTATGGAATGATTGTATTAAAGGTGTACATGTATTTCCGCCTTGGTTTATCTGACCTTGACCTCATTTTCTTGGATCATAAATGTTAATGTGATACTTGTAGTAAAACTTTATAAGTAGGACTATCAACATAAAATCAATGGTCAGTATAGTAGGCGAGACATTTCAGCGTGTGCACTCTTGTTTCAACTTATAAGTCTATAGATATCTAAATAAAAAATTAAGGTATATACATTAGGTAAAAATATAATCAAACAAAAGACGGTGTTCATGTGACCCCAACCTCATTTTACCCATCAGTGATTAAGGTTATTTTTTTGTGCAAATTAATATATATTGTGGTTAATTCCATTTCTCAGATTCTACACAATGTATATAAAGCAGTAGGTCAAAGTTTACATATGAACAAGAAGAGATACTATACATGAAACCTTTATATATATGTTAATGATGATGGATAGCTGCTTACAGTCCAGTGGCAAATTAATATGCATATTCAGGACAAGAATATGTTTATGTGATGTGAATAATAACCCTGCTTTGTTATAGACCGACAGCAACTAAAATAGCAAAAAATAATTAAATGACATCTAGAATGAAACCTACATGTATATATAAGGCTTCAATAGAAGGAAAGGCAATTGTCTATGCAATATGTCAAGCTCTACTCTTTAATGTGTCTATAAAAGTAGTGAATAAATTCAGCAGAAATATCTTGTTCATTGTGTCTGTGATAATCATTCATGTACATGTACATCACATCACTGCATGTACAAAAATGTACCACATCTATTTTATATAGATCTGTCATATGCATTTAATACACAATTCTAAAAATAAAAAAATAAAAACTATAGGCCATGCAACATGTACTACAAGTATACAACAGGGTTTATACTTGGTACAGGCACATGAAATGTGATTGAATTTAATGAAATAGTTTTTGTGTCACCTGAGACCATTGTTGCAAAATGTGACACTTAGGGATTACAATCAGCATAATCGTGCAGCAGCATAAACTATTTGAATAAAGTTTGATATTTCAGAAGATAGATGACCTGGATGTTTTATACCTTGTACACAGATACATTTTTGTGTACCTTATATGTGTAGTCACTAAGTTTCTGTCAAACAAATGTCCATTGTCCTTGACCTAATTTTTATGGTTCAGTGACTGCTTGATTAAAAATTATGCTTTTTTTTCTCATTTGAAATTTTCACTTTACAAATGTATTATGGTCAAGTCTGTATCTCAGATTCTATAAGCAATAGGTCAACTATATTTGGTGTATAGAATAATTGTTAGATGTACATGTGCATTTTGGACTAGCAGTTTTTATCGAACCTTGACCTCTTTTTCATGGTTCATTCTTTAGTTGTTGTGGTTAAGTCTATTTCTCAAACTAGCAGTTAGGCCTCTACATTTGGTGTATGGAATGGTTTTAAGGTGAACATGTCCGACACAGTCATTTTTTTCTGACCTTGACCTTTTTCATGATTTATTATTTGTGATTTTGGTCTATTTTGCAGACACTTTGAAGCAATAGGGCCACTATATTCTGCATATGACTTCTGCAGCCCTTCTATGTCAAGTATATATTGATCTTAAAAAATGACAGGTTATTGATAATTTAGTATATTGCTTTCAAATTTAAAAATTTGATTAAAAGGTAAAAAAAGCTAGAATTTTCATTTTGGACTAAAGGAGCAACCATTTGATTTTTATGGGGAGTGGGTGGGGGGGCTAGGATGAAAAATTTTGTCCTGCATTTTTTTTAGTGGTAATATCTGTTCTGCCTTTTTATTTTTCACTCTATTCGGTCCTGCATTTTTTTTAAGTTTATCCTGATTTTTTTTTTTACCTAAATTGTCATCCTGAGGCCATAAAAAAGAATATGTTTGTTTGCCCTAACCCTATCTACCCATATAATAGCTGCCTACTCAAAATCTTTTATTGTCCTGATGTGAAAAAGTTTTTTTTTTAATCAGATAGGCATGAAGACTAAAAATCATCTGACACTTCAATTACTCTTTAGAGAAAAAAAAGAAAATGCCTACCTACCTACCCACTGTCTCTACCTTTGGGTAGGGTTTGGGCAAACCAAAATATCTTTAAGTGTGGCCTGACTTTTTTTTTGCAAGTGTCTCATCCTGCCTTTTTTTTACTCAAAACTCCTGTCCTGCTATTTTTTTCAAATTTCATCCTAGCCCCCCCCCCCCCCCCCCCCCCCCTAAAAATCAAATGGTAGCTCCCTATATAACTTTTTTCAAATTAACTTGGATTTTAATAAAACTCTACAGCTATCTCAATCATATATTGATCTTACAAAATGCAAGGTTATTTGGAAGTCAGGTTTATTGCTAACTGTAAATGTAAGGATTTATTTAAAAGGTAAAAAAGCAAGAATTTTCAGTTGGAGCTAAATTCGCAGCTATCTAAATCATATATTGATATCACAAAATGCCTGGTTATTAGTCCCCTACCGTCAAAGTCGAAGGGGACTTTAGGTTTGCACTCCGTCCGTCTGTCTGTCTGTCCATCCGTCAGTCTGGCAAATCAGTTTTCCACACTTTTTTTCTTCGTGCTTGAAGATATTGATTTGATTTTTGGTGTATTGTTTTATCATGACATGTTTTATCATGACAAGTTACAGATCAAGTTTTATTTATCAATTATTATGTCAATGATAGACTAGGATTGGTTTTTTGTATATATGTATCTGCTACAGCATGGGAATTGTATAGGAAATACACATGTATTTAAATATATAGCCTACTACCTAAGATTTTTTTCTTACTAGATACAAAATAAAAGAGCCCCCCACCCCTGACAGTTCACAAAAATTCGTACAGTAAGGCACCTCTCTAGTAGACTCGACCAACTGAGCTAAAAAAAACTTCACCAGAGCAACTAATAGAGGACAGTTTTTTTTTCTTGTATGCAAGCCGAGGGGGTGCTTGTGGCGCTAAACATATATATGTATGCTTAGACTTTTTACATGTCCCATTCAAACTATGCATAGTTTGCACCCCCTTATCAAAATCCTTGATCCACGTCTGGCAGAGGGAAGCAGTCAGGGGCGGATCCAGCCATTTATAAAAGGGGGGAGGGGTTCCTAACCAAGGATAAAGAGGGGGGGTTCCAACTATATGTCCCCATTCAAATGCATTGATCGTCAAAAAGAAGGGGGGTTCCAACACCCGGAAGCCACCCCCCTGGATCCGCCACTGGCAGTGCTATAGTGTACAGTTTAACAGTGTTTACTGTACTCTTTAATTTCCACGATTACGATCCGACCTCAAGTCATAAAGCATATGAGGCACATCTGAAAACTTTGACAAACGTCACATATTTCAAATATTCATGGCTATAGTTCCAATATGACGACGAAAGAGATTTAAAAACTATTTCCAAACGATTAACAATCGAAGCGATAAATTTTAAGTCCCATTGTTTTTATTTTTGGATACTCTCGGGACCTTTCAATGAACCTCATTCAAGTAAATATGTTCCGCGTGCGCTGTTCAGATTGGATAACTAGAATTCTGATTGGTTGAAAAAGTCACATGCAAAATCCTTCAGAAGTGAAACCTTATACGGGTAGTTGTTAGATCTTCGTATGTAGTATAACGTAGTATAACGAAATCCGAGATCTATATTTTAATTAGATTGAATTGGTTTGAATTTTGTCAAGTGTGTGTAGGGATTTTGTGTCATTAGCTATTTATAAACAATTTTTGTTTGAAAAAAGTCTGTACTATATTTTGACAGATTCATGAGAGAATTAAAAAGACTCAAAATAACAGCAGACTATGCGTCTTCAGATCCGACCAAACTGGATGATTTTTTGATGGAGTTAGGGTCAGAGTTCAGTCAATACACATACTCCATGTTACAGGCCGGTGTAGATATGCATTATCTACCGTACCTCACCGAAGAGCAGCTCACCAATGATTGTGGTATATCTAGTGGTATACATAGGAGTAAAATATTACAGAAAATTAAGAGGTATGGCAATAGGGCTTTATACATCTTGATGATACAAGGGTCAAAGTTGAACTATTTAATTTTTACCTTTTATTACAAAGAATGCAGGTTAATGCATGCATGGAACAACTGTCTTGTAAATAAATTAAGAAATACAGATTTAATGAATTTTCCCCACATTAATGACTCTTTCAACAAATTATTATTACAAAATGTTCAACAAAGATCACTTTTCCCTTTCTACTATATTGTGGATACCTTTTTTTTCTCATTTATATCAATCGTCATTGTTGGAGAAGAATGTGCTATTTCGAGGGTACTTAATTCTTTGGTGTCATTATTGCTGCAATAAAAGTAACCATTTTTTTTTGTTTCGTTGAGTAGTTCAATTTGTGGTTTCTATCCATGAAGACCAAGAAAATTTTTAATCCACAAATATTAAGGACTCTATGTTATATCAATTTCACAGGGTTGCACAGCCAGTAAGTTACTGGGCAAAGACTTTGGAATACTTTTTGGCAATCTTCCTATTAGGGCTGTTCCAAAATTTACTGGGTGACGGATTGGGGGCACTCAGATTAATTGAATGTTGGTGGATGCATTTTTCTAAGAATTATGAAAGAATTAGTAAAATGAAATTTTTTACCTGCATCACCAAAGGGGAAAGAAAATCTAGTAAAGGCTAACCTCCGTCAGTCCGTTCATCAGTCCTTCCAAAAGACCTTGGGTCGAAAAGTTTTCTTGGTTTCTATCAAGGGGAATGTTTTAATATTTGGTCTGCAGCTCGTAATGTTTAATTGTAGTGAGTAAGCAATTCTAAGATGACTACCTATTATCGCCAACCAGTATAATCAAAGTATATCTACCTTTAGCGCAAACGCATTAATGCACAAAATTGGCTGTTCCGCTTTACGCCCCCTTTAAACGACCTACTTTCTATTCGATTACAAAAAAAAATGAAATTAATTTGTAAATTATTGTTAATTAATAAATTGATGGGGACTTCATTACTATTGTTATATTTGGTATGGATGTACAAATCGTCTGTAGAATGTGAAAGCAACAACATAGTCAGCTTTGAATGTGTCAAAACAATGATTTATACTGCAACTAGTTGTGTTTATTTCCTAAATATAGTAACACCTATATTTTGTGCAATGTCAATTTCATCATGGAACACTTTTTCCACAATCAGGGGTTTATTAAGGGATGAAAATAAGTTTGAAATTTGTGTTACAATTTAAATTATAGCTATCAAAGGATTTATTTAAGTTGAAGTATAAAAACAATAGTAGGTCAATGTCATAAAAATATATATTTTTTTGTATTCGGCACAAAACTGGGGAAGGGCTCGGTAAAACCTCCCCAGTTTCTCAGCCTCATACAAAAAAAAAACTATATTTTTCTGACATTGACCTAATATTATATATGTACGAATTGTAAAACATTAAAAAGGATTTACAAGTTCATTATTATTATACTGCATAAATTGACTGACTAGAATTATTAAAATTGTTAACAAATATCAATAACGATAAAAACATTATATTCCAGTATTCTACTATGCAAATCAAAGGAAAATAATTATTTGGTTGCAGCAAGACCAATATTCGGCGAATTTTTCAACAAAGTTTGACGTACTCTGTTCAAATAATAAACGTTATGAGACTAGTCAACAATTGAATAAAATAAAAATCAGGGCGAATGGACCCTGGGCAAACAGGTATTAGGGCGAACAGCTACTAGGGCGAACGGACCCGGATTCCTGACTACACAATTGATTTTATGTTTGAATTAGGTCACAAGCGTTTATTTCTTATTAGTATTAAATGAATGTTCTTTCAAACATTGTTGTGTTGATGAAGCCTAAATAACTATTCCTTTTCTATTTCAGATGAATGTGCACACTCAATACAATATTCAAGCACAAAATAATGAAAATTCTGTTTTTAAATACGGGGGGGGGGGGGGGGGAAATACGGAACAGCTAAACAGTATCATGTGTATAGGGCTTTCACGGTTGACAAAATTACCGTAATTGTTCTATTAGAATCGAAATAATTATTACATCAGACACAAATTCACTTCCTGTTTTCCGATAGTTTGTAATTTTACAACACTCATTGTATGAGAAAAATATTCGTCAAACGTTTCTTGCCTCCTATTGAAGGGAATGATTTAATATTTAGTCTGCAGCTTTATAATGTTGAGTTGTAACGATTAAGCAACTTTTACATCCACTGTCCAGCCTCTTCCTGTTTGCCAATAGTTTGAAATTTACAGCACTCATTACTTACAGGGAAAATTTTCCGCAAACTTTTCTTGGCTCGTACTGAAGGGAATGATTTTATTTTTTTGTTTGCAGCTTGATTATGTTCAGTTAAATCCGCTTGCAGCATTTTCCTGTTGGCCGAATGTTTGAAATTTTACAACACTCATTGTAGAAAAAACTTTTTTGTCACATTTTTTTTTTTGTCGTTAATGAAAGGGACAGTGATCCGTTATGCTTCAGTAGACATGTAACCTCAATCAATTGCATGCAGCGACGCAGGTCCAGACCAGTGTTGGTCTTGTTTCATTGGTGGTCTTCAACTGCAGCCCATGCGCTCATGCGTTTAATTCTGGAACAGCCCTTATTAAATTTTATAATCACATCTATCATTAAAAAAAATTATGATGTATATCAGTAAAAAAAGGTGTTTTTGGTAAATTGTGAACATTTAGTAGTCAATCATGCAATGCAACTAATTCACTGGATTGATGACCCAGGTAAAAAAAAATTGAGTATTATGCAAACAAACAGTTATATTGTTGGGAACACAAGTATGCTAAATTATGCATACCATTATAAGGTGGTGTACAAGATCTTCTTAACATATCTAGATGAATAGCAAATTATATGCGTCAACAATTTAATTAAGATGTTTTTATATACAGTTTTAGAGAACACAAGACGGAAGGTGACGCTGGAGATATTATTGATGGACGTAAGGTGACAGATGTTTTTATAAGTTATAGAAGGGTAAATGGATCAATGTTGGCAAGGTAAAGTTATTTTGTTGTTAGTAAAGGAATTCAGAAATATAATGGACATTACAGAAAGTTAAGAAGTAACAGAAGGTCATTTATATCTTTATTGGCAAAAACAATAAAACGTCTTCAAACATGGCATGTAGTTAGAAAATGATGACTAACATATATCATTTGTGTGTCACATACAGGGGAGGGATTTGTGCTCTCTTTTAACACATTATTTTTAATCTCAGACATGTCAGAGGCATTTATATTACATTGACATACAATTCTTTATCCTGCATCCAGCCAACTATTGTACAAATAACAGGTATACAAATAATGTTTTGCTTTATTGTACTTGTACAAGTAAAGTCTCATGTTACCCCACTTCTATGTTGAGCAAGCGGTAATGTGAAATTCTTTTTACGTAACAGTTCATTTTGGGGTCCTCCCTGTTGCCCGCGTCTGAACTATGTCGATTTCTTTTAAAAATCAGAGACAACTATTTGAATTTGAACAATGAAAGCTTCAAGTGCCGAGTGTAAATTGTAGGATAAAAGCAAAATCTGTACATTGTCAGAAATGTAAAATTTATCTGTGCTCGTTACAAAACAGGAGAAAATCTACGCAAGCCTCGCTTTTTGTCCTGTTTCTAAAGCTTGTACAAATGAATTTTATATTTTCCGACAATGTACATATATTGTATATTTAGAACTGTTTACAATTTGTTTAGCGATTGATTATATGTTATTTTATGGTTAGTCATGTTTTTTTTCAGGTGGCATCATTTTAAAAAGAAAGATAACTCTTGTATCTTTATTAAGCATTACAGTAGTAAGAAATAGTAATGAATAACATTTTACGTTAGAAAATGCTGACAGATAAACCATCCTTAACAAATATTCTTGTACTTCAAATACAGAGATAACTAATGTTTAAAAGTGCTAAATCATACTTTATATTCTAAGTTATTTATTATAAATACAGAATGCCTACCATTTATTAAAGAATATTTTTTTTTCAGTTTATTGAAAGTATTTCTGCAGTTGAGGGGATTTACAGTATTTTTAGACATAGAGAAATTAAATGCTGGTAAATTTGGTGAGGGGTTATTGAGCAGTGTGAGGTCCTCACGTAACTTTATACTGGTACTGACACCAAATGCCCTTGATAGATGTGTAGGAGATAAAGAAAAAAATGACTGGGTTCACAGGGTAATTTAGTTTTAGTTTTTAAATCGCGTGCAACATTTTGAGTGCATTACAGTAATATATTTTGAGAGTCCTAATCTGTTTTGTGTCTTTAATGCTTGCGACCGACAGATTACCTAGTTTATGTGTAAATCTGAATGAATAAGTTTGTTTTTTCATTGCTATTTCATTCTTATAATCAAGATAATGTTGATTGTTGAACTATAATTTTATTTTTATTAAGTGTTGAAAATAAATTAATTCTCTTATGGTTTAAAATGAACGAATACATAGTTTTCACTGACGTCACATGATTAGGATAATTCCCTGGTTATCCGTCATCTTGTAGGTCAAGCGATTTGAAGTGAGACTTTGTTTATAATTTTACCTTTGACATTCATTTATGGATTTTTACCTGGATTGAAATGCAGAGGTCCTAGAAATAGTAGAATAACAGTTATTTAAATGTAACTCCTATGGTTTTCCATAATTTATAAGATGCATAATACTGGCATGACTGGTAACTGTGTGAGTATTTGACAAGAAAAGCCGTTTCAATATCAAAAGAATTGCTGGACAGGAGAAAAAAATGATAAAATAAGTGTATTTGCTTTGGTTCCGGATGTAGTGTTATGCTGTAAGTTCCTCCTGTACATAGATGTCTTTTATCATGTAATAATGTAAATGATAGAATCATTTACTGTTTATCCTGAAGATCCTGAAGATTGTTTATATGTATTGTTAACTTTTTTCCAGGAAATAGTAGCAGCATTAGAAAGTCAGTGTAATATTATACCCATTATGGACAACTTCAAGTGGCCATTAGGTGACCAGCTACCTGAAGATATGAAACAGATCACATTCTTTAATGGTATAAAGTAAGAAGATTTTCTAGTATCTTAGTATAAAAGTATAAAGTGTGATAATATTAAACATCATAGGTTTCTTTAATACCAATTTATTGGATAACTTGTTAGTGCAATTAAAGTCCTCATTTGAATATGCAGACTGGCACTTTTTAGCTCACCTGACCTGAAAGGTCAAGTGAGCTTTTCTCATCACTTTGCGTCCGTCGTCCGTCGTCCGTAAACTTTTACAAAAATCTTCTCCTCTGAAACTACTGGGTCAAATTTAATCAAACTTGGTCACAATCATCATTGGGGTATCTAGTTTAAAAAATGTGTCCGGTGATCCGGTCAACCAACCAAGATGGCCGCCATGGCTAAAAATAGAACATAGGGGTAAAATGTAGATTTTGGCTTATATCTCTGAAACCAAAGCCTTTGCTCTGACATGGGGTAAAATTGTTCATTAGGTCAAGATTTATCTGCCCTGAAAGTTTCAGATGAATCGGACAAACCGTTGTTGGGTTGCTGCCCCTGAATTGGTAATTTTGAGGAAATTTTGCTGTTTTTGGTTATTATCTTGAATATTATTATAGATAGAGATAATCTGTAAACAGCAATAATGTTCAGCAAAGTAAGATCTACAAATAAGTCAACATGACCAAAATGGTCAGTTGACCCCTTAAGGAGTTATTGCCCTTTAAAGTCAATTTTTAACCATTTTTCATAAATTTTTGTAATCTTTTACAAAAATCTTCTCCTCTGAAACTACTTGGCCAAATTTAACCAAACCTGGCCACAATCATCATTGGGGTATTTAGTTTAAAAAATTTGTCCGGTGACCTGGCCAACCAACTAAGATGGCCGCCATGGCTAAAAATAGAACATAGGGGTAAAATGTAGATTTTGGCTTATATCTCTGAAACCAAAGCATTTAGAGCAAATCTGAAATGGATAAAATTGTTTATCAGGTCAAGATCTATCTGCCCTGAAATTTTCAGATGAATCAGACAACCCGTTGTTGGGTTGCTGCCCCTGAATTGGTAATTTTAAGGAAATTTTGCCGTTTTTGGTTTTTATCTTGAATATTATTATAGATAGAGATAAACTGTAAACAGCAATAATGTTCAGCAAAGTAAGATCTACAAATAAGTCAACGTGACCAAAATGGTCAGTTGACCCCTTAAGGAGTTATTGCCCTTTATAGGCAATTTTTAACCATTTTTTCTTAAATTTTTGTAATCTTTTACAAAAATCTTCTCCTCTGAAACTACTTGGCAAAATTTAACCAAACTTGGCCACAATCATCATTGGGGTATCTAGTTTAAAAATTGTGTCCGATGACCCCGCCCGATACAAGATGGCCGACATGGCTAAAAAATAGTACATAGGGTAAAATGCAGTTTTTGGCTCATATCTCTGAAACCAAAGCATTTAGAGCAAATCTGACGAGGATAAAATTGTTCATTAGGTCAAGATCTATCTGCCCTGAAATTTTCAGACCAATCAGGCAACATGTTGTTGGGTTGCTGCCCCTGAATTGGTCATTTTAAGAAAATTTTGCAGCTTTTGGTTATTATCTTGAATATTATTATAGATAGAGATAAACTGTAAACGGCAATAATGTACAGCAAAGTAAGATCTACAAATAAGTCAACATGATCAAAATTTTCAATTGTCCCCTTAAGGAGTTATTGCCCTTTATAGTCATTTTTTTACAATTTTCATAAATTTTGTAAATTTTTGTAAATTTTTACAAAATATTTTCCACTGTAACTACTGGGCCAAGTTCATTATAGATAGAGATAATAGTAAGGAGCAAGAATGTTCAGTAAAGTAAGATCTACAAACACATCACCATCACCGAAACACAATTTTGTCATGAATCCATATGTGTCCTTTGTTTGATATGCACATAGACCAAGGTGAGCGACACAGGCTCTTTAGAGCCTCTAGTTTTCTAGGTGAGTGAAACAAGTTCAAGTTTTAGATGAGCCTCTTATTTAGCTATCATTAACACTTCACCCTGTTTGGCAATAAACAATATTTTTCATAGTAATCTACTGGGTGATATTTAATTCTAATATTGCCTTAAAGACATTTTTCGTTCGTCTGTCCACCCATCCGTTCTTGTTAGTGCTCTCACGTGTACATTTCTTGCCAGATTTTCTAAAAACTTATATCATAGGTTTATATCGATAGGATTGTTTCGGACAAGTTTAAAATCAGTGCTGATCAACGATTGTTATAAGAGTTATGCACCTTGGAAATATTGATTGTATGGGAAATTGTATTTTTACCCTCTCTCGTGTACAATTCTTGCCAGACTTTTATGAAACTTATATCATAGGTTTATAGCAGCAATGTCATGGAAAAAATTCGAAAATCAAACTTAGCCCTTAGACTGCTGCATTCATTTATATTGTACTTGTGTGTATTGCTGAATAAATAATTAATCACTGATGAAATAAACATGTTGATTTATAATTGCTATATCTTTGTAAATATTGAGTTTTCATCAATAAAAGTTATATAAAAAAGTATTGTCAAAATCTGTATTATGTATTTCTTTTATTTTTTTTGTGTCTTTTGTAATTTTTTACCTGTACAGGTGGTAATAGAGGTAAACAAAAGTATTTTTTTTTTATTTTATTTTTATTAACGAATCCATCAACATGATCAATGTAAAAATTTTACGAACGTATCCGTGACTGCAGAATAGTTGACTAATCTTGTTGAAAATCGCTTTTATCAACTATTTCAATTGTGATTATCAAAAGAAAGAAGCGGACTGCTTTATCGGAACGACAATAGTCGCGCGTAGCAGTCTAAGGGTTTATATTGACTTTCTCATTTTTATTCATTTCTTTTAACAAAACTGCAAAACTTTAGAATAGAAAAAGAGCTACCTATTTATCTTTTTGTTTGTTGTTCCTTTCTGGTAGTATTTTATATTGTGGAACAGGTAAAGCTTGATTTATCATACTTAACGGCTGGAGATAAATCTTCTTCTTTCAGATGGATACATGAATATCAGGATGCCTGTGTGGACAAGTTAGAACGATTCATGAGAGAAGAGGTAAACATAAGCAGTAAAAAAACAGGATTGTTCCAGATGAATTTTTACAACAACATAAAGCAAAATATAGCTCTTGTTCTAGTGATAACTCTCCCAACTCTGATTGTAGCTAGTTCCAGTTCTCGCACCTTAGAGATTTCATTTGTCCAAATTTTCTTTTTAACTCCAATTGTAGCTTGTCCTAGCTCTAACACCTCAGAGATTTGTTTGTCCAAATTCTCCCTACTTAATATGTTTATGAATTTCCCAACCTCCAATAGTAGCACTAGTTAAAATGTGCCTTATTATAACTGTCTCATGTAAAATTTTACCCATAGTGATATTATAAGATTATTGTTGATCGAGATCAATTAACCTGTGACAAAAAACGTACATTAAATATTTTTACCTATTTAGGAAGAAGTTAGCTCCACAAATAACTTGCATGAATTTAAGATGCATTTTAATAAGCAATTAGTTTTAAATGCATGGAAAATAAATCATGTGAATCTCATTATCAGAAAATTGGTTTACTGTCAATTTAGACATAGGTTTTCGGTTATGAATTTTATGTGATTTTTTGCAGTTCGAATAACATGTGTAATGTTGACTGAAACACATGCTTTTTGTATTTTTTTTCACTAAAAATAAGAAAAAAAATCATTTTGGTCAATACTTTTATTGTTAAGTTAAAAAAAACTATAGGTTGATATATGCAGATAATTTGAAAACACATTACAATGAGTACAACTTTTTAGATTGTTTAGAACTTTACATACATTTAGACACTTGCCTGTTGTTTAAGACTGTCCATGTCTACATGTTTTTATTTGAGTTTGTGTTGATGGATTGCTGTCTCATTGATGTATACCATACAACTCTTTTCATTCATTCAATAATTTGAGAGTAGTATACACATGTACTGTGAATATATGGACAAAACGAGATGTAGGGTGTTTCCATGTGAGACAGCAAAATGAGAAACAGGATATATGTCAAGGAGACAGCAATCTATCAACACAAAGAAGACATAAAGAAATATATTTTCTTGTTGTTAGAATTTTACTTAACTTTTTCCGAATTCCACAAAAGATGCAAACAATTTTGAATTCTGAAATGAATAGCAAAACTATAAAAAAGGTTCTACTATTAAAAGATTACATTTATTTATAGAAGCTGAATAATAGTATGCAGGGCAGGGAACCAGATTTCCTATTGCAGAAAATTACTGAAGCCTGAGAATAAGTTATTTCTTCCATTAATATCAGATTTAGTTTTTGTCAGGAATTTATAATAAAGAGGGTCGCCTGTCTCGTCCGAATTTGAAGAATAGTCCTGAGAAAAGTAGGATAATGGCCTTATATAGGTAATTATCAAACAGGGTATATAAAAACGCAAATATTGTGTACAATAGATATTTATTTGTAAACATGTTTTTAATCTGAGAAGAAAAGTGAAGTGGTGATACTTAAACAGTGCATGATTATTCCCACATTCCATTATTCTATAGAGTTATTTCTCCATGTCTGGTTTTAACAAAGGGCGTTTATAGTAACAAATATTATGTATATTTTTCTAATGCATTGAAATGGTGTTGAAATATTTTCTCATTTAAAAATAAAGGACACAACTCTGATAATGAATACTGTTAATTCAGAAATTACTGTGTCCATTTATTATTGTGAATCCTTGACCACTTTCAAAATCTAATTAATGAGAATACACAAGTTTTATGAAGGAAAATCACTCATGAAATTATGAATGCAAGATTTTATTATTGCAACCTGAAACTGTACCATTTTTGCATTAGTTTCTGAATTTGCAGGGAATGATTTTTGAAACTGAAGGTTATGTGGACTACACCATCCTCTTTCAAAAAGTAATATAGACAGGGTGAAGTTCAAATGTTCAAAAAAAACAGAAATTTGTATTACTAAAATTAATCACAAATACATTTATGTTTTTCATTATATTCATTATTATTGGTTGGATGCCCATTTTCATAAATTTCTTTGGCACAGTGAAATTACCAATTTAATTCTCAATAATATCAAATGTTTTAATGACTTTTGAATGTTACAAATGATGAAACCCTGAAATAAGCTAACATTGAAATAGCGAATTTTTCTAAAACCCTGAAAATTGATGTAAATAGATTAATCCATAGTTATTCATGTTCCACAGACAAATAGACTAACTATGATATTGTCCAACATGAAATGAGGAAATATAGAAGATGAAGTGGCATGTGGGGAAAAATGCTTGAAACAGATAGTTTCCATTGATTTTCTTAGTGTTGGATCTTAAGGTCAGCAAAAGTATGCCCCCCCTTTTTTTTAGAGTTGATCTATGCGGAATTTTGCCCTCTAGCATATCAACAAAAAGAAATAACTCTTAATTCAATTTACAACAATGGAAAACTATCTATAGGAAAAGATAAACAGAAAATAGTGCAATAGTAGAATAGAGTTACAAATTGCTTAGTTAAAAGGAGGCTTTTGTCTATCCCAGCATTAGTTGCATGTTAAAATGTTTTTGTTGGTCACCCTAGCTAAATTATACATAATGTTATAGCAGTTTGTGATATGTTTTATTGTACAGTGTGTGATATATTTGTTAGAATGATATTTTTAACCCAATATCCCTTTTGGCTGTTATTTTGGAATTGATTTTGTAAGTTTTCAGCCCTTTTGGCTGTATTCTTAGATTTGTAATCAAATTTTGCAATGTTATTGAACAATTGTTAGATATTATTTCTAAATATATGATAGAATGTAAAATATATACATGTAGTTATTGGTGTTTATGTATCGATATACAACTACAGTGTAACCTGTATAATATGGACTCTGTTTAAAGCCGATCTAAAATCTGACTAAAGTGAACTTTTGTATTAAGACAATCATTTCTTAACATCTGCGATTAAATCCAATTTTAAAATAACAGTATGGATCTGTGGTATCTGTAGATGCCACTAGCGACTGTGATTACAATGACACAACACAATAGCAAACATTTTGTGCATGTTTTAAGAGTTTTTATTTCTGTCAATTAACTTATTAACAGCTTCATTAATGCATTTAACTAATGAATAAATAGTTTGAAGAGATAATAAGAAATAACTAATTATACAAAATTAAGTCAACCAAGGAGAATGAATGTCTGAAAAAGGGAAATAACTCATCGAATGAAAATCTACTACACTGAACTGTGAATTATGGTCACTATTACAAAATTGCAAAATAAGAAAAAATATACTAGCATTGATTTATGTTGGAAATGTAAATTTCAGATGATTAAATGGCAAGATATAGACTTTATGTGGTTTATACTAGATATTTTATGAATTAACTGTCCATCTGTAATTTTTTCAATGAATTATCTGATTTGAGTATAAATATTTTTGAAAGGAAAAACCAAGTTAAAATCATTGTTAAAATAGTTTAACAAATCATGCCTACCTATGTACATAAACATGTGTAAACTGAAACACTTTTTTAAAACGCCATAATCAACACCCTTTACTATTTTGCAATTCTTTCCGTAAATGTTTAATGTACTTAAAAAAATCATTGTCAGATCTGGTACAATATACCATGCTCTTACACTTGCTTTGGCTAAACAGGGATACAGTTTGTCTTATCAAGGTGTAATCTCCTTTTGCATTTTTTTTAAAAATTGGAAACAAAGTCGGAAGTTTGAAACTATTCAAACAAAATCTTCGGTTCAGTTTAGACAGACATTTTTGTATTATTGATGGCATTAAATTGATTTATATGAAACATAAAAAACAAATTAAGTTTAGAATGGATAAATGCTAGCCTGGCATCCTGTCCAGATCTCTGCTTTGTGTCACTAGAACTAGAGACATAATATGTTTTACATGTATCTGGTAGAACCAGATGTGAGAAAAGCCATGTCGTCCTATTGTAAAAATCAATAAAGATGTTTGATACATGTAGATGCACTTAAAAAAAATATTATACTTCAAGTTAAAATGCCAAATTTTCATTGGCTAATACGAGGGAGATAATTTACTCCATCCCATGGTTCAGCGGGAGAGAATATTTTAAATGTCACCCTCTCGTGCAGACCAATTAAAAATCGATAAATTAAAGGACAATGAATTGAATTAACATCAATAAATTAAAGACAATGTTAAAGTTCTACGTTTTTGCCTCAGAACTTTTTCATAGACTGTCAAAATAAAAAAAAATATCTTACATCACTTTTGTTGTTTTTCTAATAACTGTAACGTTATGTATGTGACATTAATTTAAAACTTAACAGTAAAAGACATCAATGAGAGAGCATTTACTATAATAGATTAAATAACACATAGCTGAGAGGGTGACAGAGCAATTTGGTTCCACTGGAAAAAATATTGTCAACCTTGGCTTCGCCCTGATTGATAATGTTTTCTTGGGGTAACAATCTGCTCTACCACCCTCTCAGATATGTCTTATTTATATAATGGTATTAAACTAAAACTTTAAAAATGATTTTTTTTCTTTTGTGTCAGGCTACGTACTCCGAACATACGTCAGGAGTTGAAGCCGACTAATGAACCTAAACATGTGGCTCTTTTCTTACTTGCTCTATTGGCCAGCAGTAAACCAGGATTCCAGGCTAGATTATGTTAATTATAGAAGTCAGGTGTACACAGGTTTATTTTGTTGTAAAGGTGGCACCCCTCATTTAGTTAAAAAAAAATGATGCCACTATTGTATTATTTGGTTCATATATAGGTAAATTGTTCTTGTAAAGGTTGCAGCCCTTGCTTTATTATGATAAACTAATGCCACTTCTGTATTGTTTGTAGTATGTATTTAATATTATATACTGGTAATATTTTCTTTTTGTTTTGTTGACTATTGGATTTCTATAATAAATGTACTAACTTCATTCTGCACCACCCACACTTCTGAAACAACCTTTATCAGGCAAGATCCAGGCCAAAATCAATTAATAAGTCAGTTGTTCTCTTGTTACTACTCTGGCTTCCTCCACTAATAAAAATGAATAGCCATGATACAGCATAGGTTGCTAAAAATAGAATTAAACACCCAACTAGCAAAGCAAAATGACATCTGGTGTTATTACTACTCAATAAAGACCACCTATTAAATCAGGAAACTATTTTTGCGATGCTTGGGTTATCTAAATTTTGCAGCATTATTTGTTTTTCAGATAGATGTGTATTTTTAAAGTCCTTTGTTACAGTCAATAGGAACATATTAATGCTAATCAGAAATTTGATTAGCAGTCATTTTTCCCAACATTACTGAATAATTTGTGTGCAATGAATTTTGGAAAGCACCTGGAATAACCCCTGGTTGTCTCGCCTTGACGGAGTCAAAATGTGAGACAGAGATATGATGTTTCCGGCGTCGGCGGCGTCAACAATGTATTAGTTTGTGATTAGGTCTAGTTTATGGTGAACCACAAGTGCAAGGTCAATTTAATAAATTTACTGTTTGCAAAAGAATGATTTATTCTAAATACTAAGGATTTTCTTATCCCAGACATATACCTTAGCCGTATTTGGCACAACATTTTGGAACTTTTGGTCCTCAATGCTCTTCAACTTTGTACTTGTTTTGGATTTCGAACTTTTTGGATCTGAGCGTCACTGGTTAGTCTTTCGGATTAAATTTTTGTTAGCTATTATTCGTATGTTTCTCTGTCCTGTATGTTCTCCCATTTATTTGTATTGTAGTCCTGTCATGTAATGTTGTCATTTTAATGTTATATTTAACATTGCCATAAAAGCGGGAGGTTTGGCTAGCCACAAAACCAGGATCAACCCACCATTTTTTTCTTAAAATGTCCTGTACCAAGTCAGGAAAATGGCCATTGTTATATTATAGTTCGTTTCTCTGTGTGTTACATTTTAATATTGTGTTTCTGTTTCTGTTGTGTTGTAGTTCTCCTCTTATATTTGATGTGTTTCCCTCAGTTTAAATTTGTAACCCGGATTTGTTTTTTTCTCAATCGATTTATGAATTTCGAACAGCGGTATACTACTGTTGCCTTTATTTATATTTGGTATGCAGTTGTATTAGCATAGGTAAATCTCATTTCCATGGAGATTATTTGGCCCTGCCCCTTCAGTCATGGTCTATTGACTTTGAAACTTTTGCTTAGTTTACATTTATTAGTTTGTGATAAGGTCAGTTAATGGGGAACCACTAGTGGTAGGTCAATCATATTTGGTATGCAGTTGTATTAGCATAGTCAAATCTCATTTCCATGGAGAATATTTGGCCCTGCCCCCTCAGTTATGTCCTTTTTACTTTGAAACTTTTGTTTAGTTTACATTTATTAGTTTGTGATTAGGTCAGTTTATGGGGAACCACTAGTGGTAGGCCAATGTTAATTGGTGTTCAGTTGTATAAGCATTAGCACATCTCTTTTCCATGGAGAATATTTGGCCCTGCCCCCTCAGCCATGTCCTATTTACTTTGAAACTTTTGTTTAGTTTACATGTATAAGTTTCTAATTAAATCAGTTTAAGATGAACAGCTGATGTTAAGTCAATGATATTTGGTATGCAAATTTATTGGCATTTGCAAGTATCGTTTCTATGGAGATTATATAGCCCCATCCCCTCTTCATGGTTTATTGACTTTGAAACTTTTACATAGTGTACAAGTTAATGTTTGTGATTAGGTTTGTTTAAAGGGAACGACTTATAATAAGTCAATGGTATTTGGTATGTAGTTGTATTAGCATTGGCAAATCTCATTTCCATGGAGATTGTTTAGCCATGTACCTCAGTCATGGTTCATTGACTTTGAATATTTGCATAACTTACATGTTAAAATATTGCTATTTTAATTTCAACATTTGCATAATCAAAATTACAAAAAGGCGAGACATAACTCTGTGATAACAGTTTTATTTTTAGTAGGGTTCGTGTTGCTCAGTCTTTGTTTTCTATGTTTTGTTTTGTGTACTGTTGTTTGTCTTTAGGGTTTTTTCTTTTCTTGATATGGCGTTGTCAGTTTACTTTCGACTTATCAGTTTAAATGTCCTCTTGGTATCTTTCGCCTCTTTTCTTTAACATTGCTCATTTCCTAATTTCACACAATATTTCCAGCTATAACTATGAAAGATACAATAGGACCTATGCTGTCAATTGCAATTTTAAACAATAGTTATTGCTATCATGTACAGCAGATGTTGATCTGTTAAACCTATTGTATCTGCTTTACCGATAGGATGTGTATTTTTATATTACTCTCAGTTGTTCAAAAAACTGAAGGCAAGCATTAAATTCTGAGTTTACAGTATACTTATGCCTCACTTTCAGGCTTTAGCTATGTAATTTATTTTATACCACTATGCCAAATAAAACAATAGAAACTACTTAATTAAAATTAATAATGTTGTACAATACTAGAACATTTAGTTTCTGTCTTTTTGTCTGATTGGCGAAAATCAAAATTTAATTTGTACTCTGATAAAAAAAATTAATAAGAAGAAAACATTTCTACTTTCACAGAAGATCATAGAATGTTGTTAAAGTAAAACTATGTTTACAGTATTATACTTCAAATTAAAGTTGTCAACACTGTTGTGAGTTCGAATCACACATGGCACGACTCCAATCTTAATTGACTAGGATTGTCAGTTTTCCAACTGTCCTCCTCTGCCAATAAAAACTGACCACCACAAAATAGCACAATAGTGCAGAACGTGATGTTCAATACAAATCAATCAATCACTACATCAAATTAAAGTTTGTTTATTGTTTACTCCTAAATTACTGTTGTTATTTAATTGCAAGAAATGTATTGTGAACCAGAAGAGACTATAGGCATTAAAAAAAATATTAATAGAAGCAATTTGTTAATACAAAAGTAAGGCAGATACATTGATATGGACAAGAGAAAAAAAGAGGAAAAGAAGAACAACATTTTAAAAACTCGGGATACAAAACTCGAGCTAAAAATGGGATTGATATCCGATGCTACACAGTACTTGCATTAATTAAATTCAAATTGTATTGCTAAAGAACCTATGTTGACCTAAAGAGTTTTTTTGTTTTTTCGTTTTAATGTTTTGTTTTGTGGCTATCTCTTTAACATTTTCCCTATGTCTTCTTTCTACACACAGAGACAGCCCGACATTAAACACAAACACAAAATAATGATGATAATAATCTTTTGGTGATAGTACCCCCAAAATAAGTTGCATACCCTGTCATGCAACTCCAACTTTTATTAGACATTGACCGAAAATTCCATACTTTGTGGATATTTTTGTAAATTTCCAAGTATCATTAAACAGAGGGTGACTATCTGGCAGGTCTGAAAATTGCAGATATTTTTTCTAGCACTGGGTCAATACCACTGCTAATGGACTGTTGGTTCCAGAGGGTACCATCAGCTCAGTAGTCTGGTTTTGGAACTGACATGATTTATAACATACTTTTTTGCAATTTAAATAATCAATGATAAATTAAGAAATTATTAAAAACAAGAGGCTGAAGGAGTGACAGCAAACCCGATTTTCCTGCAGATGTCGAATCCTAAACAGTTGAGCAAGTATGGAGACTACAGTTAAGCTTAAAACCGCTCTGAATTTGGGTTTTGGTTGAATATTTGCCACAGCATAGGTTTGTGACACAAAATGAATGTGGTCAAAGAACTGAAATATTTGAAATTGGACATTTACCTATTATGGTCCAATATCCAAAATCCAAAGTACATTGTCAGAATCAGCATATCAAAGAACTCCAAAAATTCAATTTTTGATGAAATCAAACAAAACTTTAATTTAGGACCCTTTGGACCACAATGTGGACCAATTTGATAAAGGAGCTCACAATCCAAAATCTCTCAATACATGGTAAGATTCAGCTTTACAAGGAACCACATAAATTCAATTTTTGTGAATCAAACAAAGTTGAATTTTAGGCCCTGATTTGGACCAACTTGAAAACTGGGCCCAAAAATCTAATATTTAAATACAGGTTTAGATTCAGCATTTGAAAGAACCCTATATATATTTAATTTAAGTTGAAATAAAACACAATTTAATTTTATCCATATATTTTCTCTACAAAGGGAAATAACTCAAACTAGATATGATTATAATCAATAAACCAGTGAAGTGATGACTAAGTTCTGTAAAATTAGATATGATGTAATTTTTCAAATTATAATCATTAATATAATAACAACAACCAGTGATGACTAAGTTCTCTAAAATTAGATATGATTTAACACTCAAACATTGTTAAAATCAGCATACCAAAGAACCGAGGATTCAATTGTTGATTAAACAAAAGTTTAATTTAGGACCCTTTGTACCTCGATGTGGTATTATCTTACTAATCATGAAAATAAATACAGGTTTAGTTTAGCATTTTAAAGAACCCTATATATATTCAATTTATGTTGAAATCAAATGAAAACTGGGCTCAAAATCAGAAATCTAAATATATGTTTATTAATAGACAATATAAGCTAAGTTTTGAAAAGAGTTCACCTAATAAAAAAAATATATATAGCATTCAGAAAATTAGTTTTTACAGAAAAACAAACAATTTACAATTTACCAAAGAAAAGAAAAAATGTTATTTATCATTAATACAATGTCTTTTAAAAATCGATAAAACTTATCTGTAATTATCTTCAAAATGTCTAACAATGAACTGTAAATTTCTAACTATATTTACTCCTATATAGCTTTTAATCATCAACACTTAGAAAACAGAAAATTTTCAAATAAATCTGTCAATCAAGATAAGACATTAACCATATGTTTAGTATACTGATAACAGGACATATAAACAGGTGAAAATTATCTATAAAGGCTTATTCACATGTTAGTGTAATCAAACTTTATGTATATAATTAACAAGTTCTGTTCAAAGGAAAATAACTCAATCACAA